TACATAAAATAAATACTATTCATATTCATGAGTTATGTGTTCATTCGAAGAAATGGTAAAAAGAATTTTGCTGAAGTAATTCCTTCTGTTCAGCTTCCACACATCAGTCGTCGTATCTCGTCAGGCACGTTGATTTTAGTATTATGATAAGTAATATCCTGAGTCACAGTCGTACATGAAAATGGTAACGATACATATATAATACCTATAATACCCAGATATATATACATACACACACACACACATATATATATATATATATATATATATATATATATAGGTGTATATAAATGTGTCTCTATATATAACATAATATAAAAGGGGGTGCGTGCAGCACGTTCGACAAGATCCGCGCTTCGTGTACGTTCGTAAATGCGCTTGGACATTCCCCGCTAAAATTAGGCTTATCACGATACTACCAGCGATAAATGTCGACGACTTTAACGCCCTTTCCTACGTCTACAAACCATTTTTGATATCCTAAAAAGGAAGAAAAATTCGTCCACTTTTAATAAAATCCAAAAATGTCTTCGTTTCGTTAACTAAATAAAATGAATAGATGCGATTTATTTACGAACATGAAAATCAAGTTAGAAATATCTAGTTCAAGATCACGTTTTTGTTCTTTAAGATATAAAATCTAATTAAAGATGAAAATTAATAGATAATAGAATGACGGAGATCTTCCATAAGAAAATAAATTATTTTAACGTTGATCATATCGCCTAAAGAATTTCAAATATTTTATGTAATATCAAATACTCGTCCGATGATATACCATGTTTATATGTATGCATATAGGTATAGACATAGCTCTAAATGTATATATATATATATGTCTCACCACAACATATAAGAAGGGTAGACGACGATTATCCAACTGCTGAGCAAGGTTTCAACCCGTACACGCCAACCAGCCAGTCCACGTTCGTTCAAAGGCTTTCCGATTAAATCTTACCTGGCTTAATATTATTATTTTACTTACTGCATGCAAGAACATAAGAAAGACAGGTAAGAGAAAGAAAGAAAGAAAGAGAGAAAGAAAAAGAGAGAGAGAGAGAGAGAGAGATACAGAGATAGGAAAAGGGAATATAAAAATCTGCTAAGCCTCGTCTATCTATATCTAGTAGTTCGACTACTTTTGCTTTTGAAGCAACTATCGCAATATCTAGCTACGTTCAATTAAGAAGAAAATAAAATAGAAGAAGGGAAAGAGTACACAAGAAATTCGCATACATTAAAGATTACAGTAATTATTATATACATATAGATATATTTCATTTCTACGAATAAAATCGTCCATCTTACCTTCCATCGCGAGATCGTCGAATGTGTATTGTATTTACATGTATTCGATACATTTACCTCTTAGACGCCACCGACAGTAAAGGATCCCTTCATCATACAAGATCATCTGCTCTTATGCGGTAACAACCTTCCCCGAGCGTTGAAAGTACATTATGCAATTCAAATATTATTCAAAGGCTAAAAGCCATGAGGGACAGATGAAATAAGGAAGCGTTAGGGGTTAGAATGTATAAACCAAGGGAATAGGTAAAAGATATCATGGTATTACGTTACAGGAAATACGGATTTCGATGGATTTTCTATCTCCGTTGAAATCATACAAAATTATTCTTAAATTGGATAACGATCAATCTGATTATATTAGAATCTTTATTAATCGTCACCAAAATCGTTTATCTTTCTAATACATTTCTTTTTTCTTTTAATATTATTATCTAATATAAGAGTTATCTACCTATAACATCAACTTCACATTTTTTACATATTTAACAAATGATTTATAATTTGAATTTTTAATCAATAATATGATGCAATATTAATAACAAAACTCAATGAGAAACAGCTGTATTTGATCGATATCGATGTCTAAATTTCACGGTATAATACCAAGCAAAAGTTCCTAAATAAATATTAGAATAACATCTGGCTTTGATTGTTTGAGAGAATACAAAAAATTAAGGTCTTTCGATATTTAATCGAAATATTCATCGTATCTCGACATCAAATGATCCTATTATTTCTGATACTTCCTATTTTCGTTTATCCTTTTAATATAATACATAATATCATATATATATATATATATATATATATATATATATATATATTTTTTATCCTTCGCAAATATTAAATAATAAATATTAAAATAAAAGAAGCAATATAATATTGTGATTACTCTTTGAATTAACGTAAGAGATAACGCCTTAATGATAAATATAATTTATTAATAATATCAATGTAAAAATATATAATAAGATTATTAAGACGTTCGCGTTATTCAAATATAACTAAACTGGATATCGTAGTTTTCGAGACAAGCTTCTAATCCTGAAATATTATAGGTATGTTCGCTCGAGCATGATACTTACGTCAATATCAATTGCCGTTCTAATTCCTCTCCCTCCCCCTCCCCCATAACGAAATACATTTCCATTGCCCTTTATATTTCGCATAAACTAATAAATTAATGAATTACTTAAATCATTCGATACATGTTCTAGACTATACGTTATAATAATTATTTATTTATTTATCTTAAATCGCAATTCATTTGCACAGAAAAAAAAACAAAAAAGAAAACATAAATTAAAATATGTCCTCTTTAAGTTTAGATCGTTGAAGCAAATAAGTAAGACGGGAATGTTCTTTGATCATCTATACGTATCCATTGCTATGCAAAACGAGCCTATGTCGGAAATCATTTGTCTCGAGGATAAATGAGAAATTGGTAAAGCGGACAAGGGTAACTTGAGGGTGGAACTACAGAGAGTAAAAAGGAAGAACCGATAGAAGGTAGAAAGGACTTTAACATTGCTGAGTCAACGAAGGCGTTGACATTGCTAATTATCTTTTCATAATGCATAGAAGCAACCCTTCGGTCACCTTCTCTTTCACTGTGATTATAAGTACTGTCAAAAAAAAACCACTCGCATTATGCATCACGCAACTGTGAGAAAAACAAAAAAGAAAAAAAAAAAAGAAAGAAAGAAACAAAAAGAAGAAGTAAAGAAAAACAGAAATTTCAAACAATGACCCTATTGCCATTTATCAAAATACATACACGGTGAAACGTATTATGTAAACATTTCTATGATAAATAATTTTTAAATTGCAAACTTGTAAACAATCTATAATAACATTATATAAAACAATCTCTATCGTCCAAAAAAGGAATCAGTTATTTATAAACTACCATCGTTCTCGAAGTTTAGCTCTCCCCCCCCCCTCTCTCTCTTTCTCTCTCTCTCTCTCATGGCCATTAAGCTTACGCTTCTCCAAACCGAATGATAAACTTGGACAAGTTCTATCAGGCACGCCGGAGAGATTGAATGAAATGTTTCCCGTTTTCGCGACTCATTCATCAATTTAGCACCTTAACAAGGCTACCGGACACAACGTTACCGACTTTATCTATGGTCTTCGACTAACAAAACCCACGTTTCGCGATACGTTATTCTCTCATTTTTCTACGAATCTGCAAAAAAGAAAAAAAAGGAAAAAAAAAAGAAAAAAAAAAGAAAAGAAAAAGAGAAGGAAAAGAAAAGAAATTCTTTTCTTTCATACTCTTCGCCAAGAAAATTATTTGCGAAAGTTAATGTTCGTAGAAAAGAACAAAAAAAGAAAAAGAAAAAAGAAGAAAAAGAAAGAAAGAAAGAAAGCAAAGAAGTTTCGCACACTGCCCCAAAAGTTAAACTTACTTAAATTATTATAACAAAATATTATAACGTAACGTCTAAATTGAAGTATTCACGAAACATAATCTTCTAAGATTAAAATAAGTAGGTATAAAGGAGTCAAGAATAAAAAAGAGAAAAAAAAGGAAAACAACAGAGAGAAAATATTCATGGTAAATATACATATAATGTCTAGCCCCCGATATAAAAGATGTGACTTTAAGGCGTTGGCTTGACAGTTTCGTCCACCCTCAGCCATTAAGTAAATTGATCTCCACATACCGGTAGTCTAAATAACAACCTAATTTTCATAATGCGCAAACGAGAGACCCACCCCCTCCCTTCCCCTTTCATCCCCTTCTCCCGTTATTCCTTTTTTTTCTTTTTTTTTTTTTTAAGTCGAAGTGTTCCATTTTTTCATTCTCTTCACAATTTAATTAGATTATATATGATTATTATTCGCGACATCCCAATAGTCAAAATATTTTGTTGTTTATGAGAAAAATTTCTTTTGGCCCGTATCTAGTTTTTATTTATTTATTTATTTATAAATTTATTATTACTCTTATGGAAATTGATAATTGAGTAAAAAATAACTACGCGATAGCTCAACGATACATACCAACCACACATATCTGTTAAACAGCTGATGCAATTTGATCCAATCATAGGGCTCAACCCTATCGTTCGTTCACCTTCTCATACAGGTCATCCTTCCCCGAAAACTACTTTCCAAGAGAATTGACCAGCTGTGTTGGACATGAGTGGGCTGTCACTTAAAGGGATTTAACTTAATCTCAGACTACACATATTGCTTTCCAATATTTCACGCTATTTCCTAATCGTAAGAGGATAAGCCGCTTTATATTGACGGTATCTAGTACAAAGTCATCCAAACAAACGACGTACTCGATTCGAAAACAATTAATTCGTACGTAATATTCGTAATATTCGTAATATTCGTACGTAATATTAATTACTTTTTCATTAATGTTACAAGAACGTAAGAAAATAAAAAATTTTATTCGATATCTTTCATGAAATTCCATGAAATTTCTCAATTGCTAAATAATCTATTTTTACTATATATCTAATAATTACATTCTAATAAACATCGATAAAAAGAAAAAAGAAATATATATATATATATTTTATTATCCATAAAATTGTTTTGTTAATCATCGATGATTACTTTCATCGTTCAACCTATTAAAGAAATAAATTAAAAAAGGAGAAAAAAAGAAAAAAAAGAAAGGATGTTTCTAACTTACCTAACAATAAAACATTTTCTGTTTGCAGCTACAAAGACGACTCACAATGCTGGAGATTTTATCGGTAACACGGTCGGTGGTACAAATCCATCGGTTTATGGAAATTCAACGAGTGGTACCGTGAACTGTCTTACTGGCGGTCCATTAGCTGGTATAACAAGTGGCTTCAACAATACCGGTCGTACGAACTTCACTAACAAACAACTAACCGAATTGGAGAAGGAATTCCATTTTAACAAGTACTTGACACGCGCGAGACGCATCGAAATAGCCTCGGCCCTTCAACTAAACGAGACGCAAGTGAAAATCTGGTTTCAGAATAGACGAATGAAGCAGAAGAAGAGAATGAAGGAAGGCCTTATACCGGCCGATGGTGGAAACGTCACTCAACTAACTGGTGCGAGGAGTAGCAGTAATTCACCGACGAGCAATCACCAAACAACAACCAATCAGGACAATATCGCTGGACTTAGTCTATCCAGTTTTACCAGCGACAATAGTCGAGAATCACCGCCTATATCGATCAAAGATTAATTCGATCATTTATGATCTTACGTTTCACGATAAGACGATGATTGAAACTAAACTAAGACTCTATTAATAGGAAGCAAAAAATAATTATTAATATCCAACCAATGAGACAAAACAAAAAAATATTCCTCTTATGTTTTCTTAAGATATTACTCGAATATTATTAGATTCAACAATTTCATTTATACGGATCTTATTTTCGAATCGTCACGTTTGTTATAGCTGGAACTTCTTAAATTTAACGATTTAAGATATAAACATATTTTTAATGTTTTTTTTTTTTTTAAATTGAAAAAAAATTTTTTTCTTCATTTCATTATTTCCATAATTGATATTAAACTCGAGACATAACTCTCGCATTTAAATAAAACATAAATGTATGAAAGTTCGTCTTAAAATTGAAAATATTTATGATTTAGTTGTTATTTTAATTATTATCCGATATAAGCGAATTTTCTTACTACTTTGTGTTACAACGTTACCAATGTAAATTATCTTATTCTGAACGATCTTCGTAAATTTATTTTTTTTTTTATTTACATGATTACATGAACTATCTAAGAAGAAACTAATGTCCTGAGAGAGCACTCGTTAGATTAACAAAAAAAAGAGAAAAAAAAAAAGAAAAAAAAAAGGAAAAGAAACAGAAAACGAAAAAAAATACACCTAGAGATAATACAAACCATTTAGATTATGAGATTATCTTTTAATTAGGTAATCCTACTATCGATAAAATAAACGAAGATGCAAATACAATTGATAGCAAAAAAAAAAGAGTAAAAAAAAAAAAAAGGAAGAAAAAAGAAAAAAAACGATTAACGCCTAATTCAAATAATCTATATCACAATTTCGATTAATAAAAAACCTTTTCAAATTCATTTACTCGAACCAAAATGCATATGTACATTTGTAAATGATTTCTCAAAATATCATTGTCACGTAACGTAATATCTACAAATGAATACGTTGGTTTCACGAATATGACCGAGAAAATGTCCACGCAAGTTGCATATACGATATGCAACTAACATTAATAAACAAACGTTTGTAAATTAACTTTATGAAGTGTCAGAAACGTTTAACAGATATATATATATATATATATCTGTAAGCATATATGTAACGTGTAACATCAGGATGTATAGAAGAACTCATTAATTGTAAATCCCAATCAAAAAGGTTTCTTCATAATGAAGTTCCATCTTTTTTCAAAGTATTATGTCTTCAAAGTAATAAAATTATTACAAGATTATTATTACTACATAATAATCTATATATATACATACATACATACATATGTACATACATATATATATATATATATGTGTGTGTGTATATATGTGTATATGTTATTGCGATAACACACAATAACGCGATACATTTAGTCTATAACTTAAAAATATTTGTGTATTTATATGTAAATAGAATCTTGAACGCGCGCGTCCAAGCTTGATGTGGTGAAAATAAAAATAATGAAAACGTTTATTGATATCGCTTGGAAAGATTTCGTAATACCTTGCAGGGAAACATAATGAACGATAATCAACGATGCGATATTATTAAAAAAAAAAAAAAAAAAAAAAATGAAAAAAAAAGAACATATGTATCTTCCTAATAAGATTAAACGAATGTATTTATAATATCTGCGCAAGCTTCGAATATGCGTATATTATATTTGTAAAAATCGATGATTCCTTTTTTGTTTGTTTGTTTTTTTCTTTTTTCTTTTTTTTTTTTTTCTCCAATGTTTCGAGTTCTTAGTAATTAAATATTTATAAAAGGGAATGATTCATTCTTAAAAAAAAAGAAAAAAAAAAAAGAAAAAAAGGAAAAAAAAACAATAACAATAAAAAGAACAACTATGAATAAATATATATATATATAGTTTGTCCCTTATTGTATTTATAGCGACTTGTTACCAAGGTATCGTCGTGAATGATAACAAAGAAATTACATTAAATTATATACAGATCATATAAGATTTACATTGATTCCTTCTTATATCGATATCTTAACACGTCAACGTATTTAAAAAGGGCCACGTAGTTACAAAGAATATATTGTAATTAAGGCGATAGAGAGCTCTGTACCTAAAAGATTCCTACCATAATAATGAATTGTGAGTAGTCTGTAATGTCTCTTAGAGCTATGTAGAAAGAAATAAAGTATTATTGTATTAAATCGTAACGCAAGCTCTCACACACACGCGCCACGCGCACATACACACAAACACAATAAACACGTACACACATCACACAATAAACACAGGATACACATCGTATTTATTAAATATATTTCTTTGTGGTATTTGTCTATTCTAAAAAAAAAAGAAAAAAAAAAAAAAATTAACGAAACTCTCCTCGTGCTTAAATATCGGTGTTGATTTTTTTTAATGAAATATATATATATATATACTCATCTTTTTTTTTCTTTTTTTTTTTTCAACAACATTTAATTACCCCTGTATGTAAGTAAATACATTAAAAATATGTAGGATCACTTCTCGATCTATCCCGGAATTACATGGCGTTTAGCATGAATGTAATACAACACAAAGTCACTCATTCTTGCAGAACGATTCGACGTCGATTGGTCAATGAATATTTGCCTATATAACGCTGCCATCGTTTCATCATTTTTGTCTCCTATTGGTTCGTCGCGATACAATACAACGACGGTAGCGCCATCTTATCAACCATAATGTAATACAATATTCTAACCTCTTGTTTGAAATTACCTTCTTACTTGTCATTCCTTTTTTTTTTTGGATATATTTAGATATATTCTCATGATCAATTTATATCATTTAAGAGGCATGATTGTAATTATAAATTTGAAACTTTAAAAAATGGACAAAGATATTAATACGAATAGAAAACTTAATGAGTGGATAAACTTTCAGAAACAACTTTTAGAAGAGAAAAATTTTCTCACAGATATATTATCTAAACTTGACAAACAGATACACGCACTTCAGGTGAAATTATAGTTTAAAAAAAAAAAAAAAAAAAAGAAAAAGTACCTTGTTAGAAATCTCTCTTATTTCTGATTATAATAATAATAACGATAAAATGTTAAAAAAGGATTTAAAAAAATAAATAAATCTGAGAATTCAAAACTAATGAAATTATCACTAATGACAATATCAATTGAAATTAACTTTTCTGTAAAAATATCATTTCTAATTGAATTTATCAATGCCGCAGGTTGAACAGTTACACTTATTAAGTGTTATAAATACAAAAAGTAATGCCAGTGATATTTGCAAAGATACAGATCAAGCTTTATCTTTGCAACCAACAAATAGCGATCAGCCTACAAAACAAAAACCTTTAGATTTATCAGTACCTGTTTTAATGGATTTTAAAGAAGAAGAAAGTGAAGACGATAATTATGACGAACTGGATGATGAACTCGATGATGTATTAGATGACGAAATGGATGAACAATGGATGTAATGAACTAATGTCATCAAATCATTTTGTACATACATAGATTAAATAAAATGAACATACAAATTTAATTTGTATATAATTATTTGTAAATATATTAATAACCTCTAAATTGTTTTAATTGTTACTTTAATATTGTTGTTTGAATAATATAGTTGACTTATTATTATATATACATCAACAATCAGAAAGCATAAGTATGACCTAATAGAAACACTATTTTAATATATGATTTTTGAATTACTAAAGACGAAATAAAATGTTCACATTGTACACACATTGTCATTATCTTTTGATCATATAGAGGGTATGGAAAAACTAATCAAAAAATATTCTTTATCTTAGATGATTATTGTATACAAGACTGCCAAAAAATAAAGAACAAATCCATATCCCATCTCTATTTTGCTAATAACTAAACATTGGTATTTAATTATCATGTTAAGTTTTTATTAATCTAGCATATTCCTCCCTATTATGAAGGATATCCTTGCGGCACTGGACCAACATGTGAAGGATCCTCTACAAATGCTGGTGGCTGAAATTGCTCTGCTTGAAACCGTGTGAAAAATATTCCTACACCTTCTATCAAAGCAAGTAAAACTCCTCCAATTAAAGCACTACCAGCCATAGTAGGCAATCCACTCCTAGCAGCTAGAACTCCACCGGTTGCTGCACCACTAATTATAGAATTCCAAGGATCTTCTTTTTTTCTATAGTGAATTAATGTGCAATCGATCATAGAAAATACTCCACCCCATATAGCAAAATTTCCTGCTATAATTGGAGCACGTTGTTTAATAGCCATAAAACTGCCTACTAAACGCCTTTTAAAACCACTGGGTGCATTACGAAAACCCTTTACACTTTGAAAAACAGCTCCACCAATTACACCCATAGTAAATGCACCACCGCAATCATCTATTATTCTCCAAGGACATGGCTCTCTCACATATTCTTCCATTCTTTAGCAATCTGAATAAAAACAATAATAATATAATAATGTAAAAATATATGTATATATACATGTACATGTATTTATACTCTTACAAATATACAGATAATTTAAATTAAAAATACATATAAGATCATAAATCAATACTATATATCATATCATATCTATATACAATTTTAATTGTAAAATGTTCCAATATCATCATTGATCTATGCTACATGATATTAAATATTTTATGTCACTGCGATTAGTAACACTAGTTTACTTAACACGATTGAAATAATTTACAATTAATTGTACTAATAACAATTATTTAACATGCAAATAATGTATATATACTAAAATTGCGTAAACTGTACTAACCTCTAAAATTTCATTTCGTATTTTTAGATTCTTAATTTTCCAGTACTCGACAAGACAAAATGAAAATTTACAAAGCGAATATTCGAGAATTTATTATACTATATTTAATATAATGTTACATATAATTTATTATATATGTCTAAAATATAAATACACGTAAATCAATGTGTATTTGATTACGAAGAAAAACGTGAGTTCAAAGTGAGGTTATATGAGCAAAACTTAATATCATCTCGCGTAAAATAATCTCTAATGGTATATGCTTTGTAGAAAAATATATAACATTTTTTAATTACTTACTGAATATTTTGCTTGATGTATTTCCTTTTTAATACACACTATTTTATAATAAGCCCTATGAAAGAACTACCGCAACCACTATTATAAAATTTATGTATACGATGTCGACATAGACAATATAACAAGGAACTTGATCGGAAAACTAAAGACAAATTTTTATCTACGAAAACGAACGATATTTTATCCAATCGAATATGTAGAAATTTAATTAACATAATGTTACACTTTTTTAAATCATTCTTTATTATTATTTATAAACATAAAACTTTTTGTATCATTTTGTAATTAAATTCAAACAATTATAAAAATATGTATTGGAAAGAAGCTATTAAAAATAATTTTTGCATTAATGGAGAAACTATAAGCGAAATTTTCTTAACAAAATTAATAATGATTTGAAATTCAATATTTGACACAAAAAAAAACTATAGAAATTTATTTAGAAAATTTGTATTCTCTCTTTCTACTGAACCAATACGAAGTATGCATGGCCAAGTATTTTTTAAAGTTTAAAATAGAAGGAGCGGGCAATGTCCAAAAATACATCGTATTTCTAGCTAGTCCTTGATATCCAGTACTTTGGAATGACAATTGAGTATGTATCGTAATAAAATTTCTTTTTAAAGTGCTAATATTTGTATACATTTATATAATACTTATATAAATTATTCATTTTATTATATCTATTTATTTTTATCGATAAATAATATAATATCAAATTATATACTCATATATTTATTTCAATTATTATAACAATCACACACTTATTTCAATTATTGTAATATTCTATCTCTGCATTGACACAAATATTAAATATTATACTTCAATGAAAAGTTATTTATTAAAATATATATATATATATAAAATATTTTATTTTATACAAAAAACATTGATTTACATATATGATTCATATTCATATTTAAATCAATGTTTTTTGTATAAAATAAAATATTATTCTTTTAGTTGTTTCCATAGTGATACTAATACTTTTGTGTACACAAAACTTTATACATGGTTTCAAATAAAAGAAAAATATAAATAATTATTTTACAGAAAATGTCAGAAATCCAAGAATGTTCTTCTGTTGGATGTGTATCCGTAGATAATATAACAAATAATAATGAAAATGATCTATCAAAAGGGATTACTCCTTTAGAAGAAACAAGGAATAAAATTGTTGACAAGGATCCTGTTAAAGTACAAGAGGATATAACAAAACTGGTAAATATAGTATAATATTAGATAAATTATAAATATATCTTGTATGTACAAATCATTTGAATTTATCTACACATTATTTAGAATGAAACTACAATATCCAACGCTTCAAATATTTCAAATAAAGATGATCTCATATTAAAGTCAATATCAGATGCAGTTGCTGTTAAGGATGAATCTTATGAGGTAAAAAAAATGTTAATGGTAGTATCAATTAGTAATTGTTATCTAATTGTCATTTTGTAATTATTATACATAGGTAAGCAAAGGCAAGAACGAGTTGATATGCAAGTTAGAGGTAGAAGTAAAGGTAATTAAAATTTCAAAAGTTGATAATTAATTAAATAATAGTTGATAATTGACTTAATATTATAATTTATTTTTATTATTAGGAAAGAACGATCGAACGAGATATGTATCAAAGAAAATTAGCAGAAGTTGAACAAAAGTTAACTGATCTCGAAACATCGATTGCTATGACTATTAAAAGTGCTGATAATAATGAGAATGTTCCATATGTAACACTGACAGAATTAAAAAATAAATTAACAGAGACAATAATGCAATTAGAAGATCGTGGAGTTATTGTAGCTAATCAAGAGAAACAGATCAATGCTCTTAATGTACAAGTATCAACATTGAAAGAAGTAGTAGCTATTACAAGAGATCTTTTGCAAATTCGTAATACAGAAGTTAAACATTTACAGGTATATTTTATATTTGAAAGTTATATATAAAAGAAAATGTCTAATTTGAATTTGTTTTATTTTATAGGCAGAAGTTGATAATATGGAAGCACGAATTGCTGAAGAACGTGAAAAACACAATATGATGATGTCCAGAATGGATGATGCTGTACGATTAAATTCTGATTTAAAGAAAGAATATGAGACACAATTAAATCTTTTTAAAGATTTACGTATAAAATACGATGAAAAAATAAATTTACTTTCGGAAGAAAAACGAGCGCTTGAATTAGCAAATCAGTCTACAAACAATTAAATAGAAAAAGAAACAAAAAATTAAAGTCCGAAAAAAATAAAACATAACAGAAACCTTCAAGAGATATTATGTTTATATATATTTACAAATTTCTAATTTTAAAAGCTACATGTATAATTATAGGTACAAAATCACAAATAAAAATCAAAAATACATGTTAATGCGTGATGTATAATAGTAAAAAATTATTTAATTTATTGTAAATCATAATTATGTAAAATTAAAAGATGATGTAACAATGACACATCTTGCAACATGTATCTTTCTATTGATAATAGATAAGATTCATAAAAGATTCCGCGTATAAAGATAATGATTTTAACTAATTCATTTTAGCTGATAATAGATATATCTTCATCACTGATTATCCATGTAAAAAAATAGAAAAAGTTGCAAAGTTTTTCATCTAAACAATGTAAATAGATCTTTAAAAATTTCTGCATTTGTTGTAAGTATTGTATATTTTCATTGTTTGATGCATTATTTAGTCAGTAGATCTATTATTTATTATAACCGATAGAAAATTGTTTGAATAGTTTAATTTAAAAGATTTGTTTTCTTATTATAAAAACACATTTTGTACAATCATATTAAAAAATAAAAATAAAAAAGAAAAAGTTTTCAGAAATAATCTGCCTTTTATATACAAACAAAATTAAGTATTTATTGAGGATTTTTATCGCTTACTTTATCATATTGATGGACTGATATAATGCAAGATTATAGAGAGATAGTAATTGAATACAAAAATAAACCGATAAAAGGAAGATAAATTGGTACTTTAAAGTGGTATAAATATAGAGAAAAACTTTCAGAAATTTAGTAGAACCATTAAAGAAGTTCAGGTAAGAATTAATTGTATTTATCTGCAAAATAATCATAATAAGCTACTCTTTCTATTGTTAATAAAATTATATTTATATATTTTTTTGAACTTATGTGTGCACTTTGAAAATCTAAGCATGTATTTAATAATTATGTGTATGCGAAAAAGACATTTAAAAAATATGTAACTTTCGATTTTTATTAATACTCTTATACTAAATTGTTAACTATTATATATTATACATACTGTTAAATAGTGCTTTTTATTAATATGTCCATTTTATTTTGCAGATTTATGGCTTCTTCAAATTAGTTAACAAGATGAATAAGATTTTTATTTTGCTATCATTAGCATTAGTCTACGTTGCCGCGCAATCGGCGGTAGTAGAACCGAAAGTAGACTTAGAAATTGTAGAAGGCAATGAAAAGGTAAAATGATCATTTTTTAAGGAATACACTTTTATTCATTATTTTCTACCATATTCTTTTTCTTCGACAGATTAGTAATAATCATATTAATTCATTTTCCAGAATCTTGTCGGTATTGACAGTATAAATGAATCAGATGAATCCGAATTAGAAGAATCTAACGAAGAGGAATTTGACGAAGAGGAATCTGACGAAGAGGAATTTGACGAATTTAAACGACCACCACACGGCCGACCTACCAGAAGACCACCACACGGCCGACCTACCAGACGACCACCACACGGCCGTCCTACCAGACGACCACCACACGGCCGTCCTACCAGACGACCACCACACGGCCGACCTACCAGACGACCACCACATCACGGATACTCAGAAGAGGTAAAAAAAATATGATTGATACTTAAATAGAAATAAAATATGCAATCATTTTTATAATCATTAAAATCATTTTTCGATAGACAATTTTTTTTATTGACTTATAAGCAATAAAAAAAAATTGCTTATACTAATATACTTTATTTACGTGTTTCTTTATCAATTCTAAATTGCCTTTATTTTCTATATGATCTTAAGGAACAAGTCTTTTTTATCTTCACATTCTTTTTCTCCTATAGATTTTCTTCTAGTAATCATAATAATTCATTTTTTAGGACTTTGAATATATACCTGTCGCTTCCGACATAGAAGAATTCATTGAAAATGAAGTTGAGGACTACCGTCGACTACCATCCCACAAAAGACGCCCACCACCACCACCACCACACAAAAGACGCCCACCACCACCACCACCACACAAAAGACGTCCACCACCACCACCACCACCACCACCTCAAAGACGTCCACCACCACCACCACCACCACCTCAAAGACGTCCACCACTGACATTAGACGAATCTGTTGAACCAATCACTGTTTAAATATCATTTATGCAACTTAAATGGACCGTTATATGAAAAAATATAAATTAAATTAATCTTGCACATAATATGTTGTATTTTCTTCATTACCAATAATTCCGAAAGATTTTCTAATTTAATATATATATATATATGGTATCATTTAAAAAATCATTTAAATCCGATTAACAAATAAAGGGATAAGTGCAAAACAAATGGTTTTAGATATTATTTGAATATAATTAGTCTTCAAATTTACTTATTTGTTATTGATATTTTCCATTAAATAAGAACGATAAGAAACTTCATCAAAGCTTGTATAATAAGCAATATATATTCATATAAGTGTAATAAAAATTTGCGATATCTATATACAAGGACATAAAAAGATAATCGAGGAAGTGTATAAGTTTGTCTAAATTCAGGGGCGACAATCGCAAATGTTATCTACGTAAATAATATATTACAGTACCACAGAGATTAAATGTAATTGGGAAATTCCATGATCAACTCATTAGCTTTGATTCATACTAATGATATATATTAATCATAAATAAGATATAATTAATAAAGTTTATCACAAGTCACTGATAACAGGAAAATTTATATGAAATTAATAAAGTGAGTTTAGTAAAGAGAAAGTTTATATGAGAGTAAACATGTTTGTCGCTTCGAATCAAGATATTTTTCAAAGAAATTTTCTTTTCGTTTATGCATACATTATTTTTGTGTGCAAAATTAATTTAAAATTAATGAAAAAAAAAAAAAATAAAAAAATAAAAATTATTAATTCATTTGTAATCATATTTGCCAAAAAACATTTTCTTATTATTCCTATTATTTTTTTTTCAGTCAAAAATATTTTTCGAAATATATGAAGTTTCATAATTCATAATAAAATCATGGTAACAATTCAGGTTCAAGATAAAATAAAAAAAAAAAAAAGAAGAATGGCACAAAAATAAAATGTTTCACTTGAAGAAATATAATTTTTAATATCTATATATACATTTTTGATTATGTCTCTGTTTATAAAATTTAATCTATCTAATCGAATATTTGTAAGCATTGATAATTTCATGATTTTATCGTTTCTATATCACTTACATAATTCGTACATTTTGTATCTCTTTTATCTATTATTTTATTATTGATTAAAACTATCAGTTTATCGATCTATCAATAATAACAATCGCATTTTTAACACATTGTTGACCGATAATGTGTCAAGAGTATAATCACAAATATACTTATGGTACTTACGTAATTATTAAAAAAAAAAATCACATTGCTACGATATTGTTTATATTATTGTGGATAGTATTTGTCTAATTTGGACATTATCAATTTTTTTGAATTTTTAATATTTTAATAATTATGATATTTTAATAATTTTAGTTCAATTATGAAACATAGCCGATGTGAAATGGGTATTACTTTTTATATATAGCAACTCGCCAACGATGTATTAATTACTTAATTACTTCTTTTTCGAATATTAATGTATATCTCTCTTAATAGAATAAATTTATAAATATTAAAGCACACAAATTATTAATCGACGATACAGTATCGACTTATAACTTGTGTAACATAAATATTATAAAATTTTATCGTAAATTGTAATATCGTATATCAGAACTTTATTTACAATAAAAGATTATGTAACATATTATAAAATTTTATCGTAAATTGTAATATCGTATATCAGAACATTATTTATAATAAAAAATTTGATAGTGGGGAATCCATGAAATGACATCAATAATAACAAGTAATAAAACAGTGATTTGCTTCTACGTTCTAGGAATTATGATCAAATTGTAATCAGCTATTTAGTATTACAAAGAGACAGAGAAGTATGGTAATCAAATTTCAGTGGTTCCCCGACATTCATTATAGATGCCAATACACAGTGAGTATACCAAACTAGCGGAGAGAGGAATAAGTATAAAAGCAATATTATAAGCCTTGTAGAGATATCATTTTCTTGTAAACTTTCGTCTAGATAGCAACTAAGGGTAAGCAACAATTTTTAATTATATATATGATATAATAATATAACACACGATAAAAATATTATTTTATATGTATATGTAAAATTCACACAAATTAAATTTTTATAATAATACGTAATCACAGTTTCATATTAATGGTCGATATTTCAAAAATATAAATCAAACAAATAAATATAAATCAGATCGAAATAAACATATATAAAATATTGACATTACTCTTTCCAGACTCGAGAAAAATGAGAAGCTTAGCAATAAGAGCGGCTTTAGCTGCTATGCTTGTTATCGTAGTTAATGGAGAAACGTTCAAATTACATTCGGCATACCCGGTAAGTATACGGAAAATAATTATATTATATAAAATATTTGAACGATACAAATTATAAAATAACAGGATTAGAGATAATTTAAATGTACAATTAATAGATTTTTAATATAGTCATGTTTTTTTCTTTATATATATTAGCACGCCGTTATCGTGAAAGAGACTGAAATTCATCATCAAAATCTTCAAGTACCCGAACTTCAAGAATATCAAAAACAATTTGATGTGGTAAACATAAACGCGAATATATATCAATTCATGAAGTAATTTATTTATATTAATATTACATTAATTTTTATATTTTAGCGTAAACGCCGTGAAGCTGATCCTGAACCTCAAAGGCCAAGACCACAAGTTCCACAACCGGTAATAATAACTAAAATTACATGTAACAGGAAAAATATTCAAATATGAGCTATATGTGTTACAATTAAATGATTAATATCATTTTATTTTCATATTTAAGAGACCTTCTCGACCAAGACCCCAACAAGTACCTCCGCGTCCACCACACCCGGTAAGGATACGAAAAATTATAATTAATAAAAAAAATATTCAATTATAAGTTACATGTATTACAATAAATGGATCAATATCATCTCATTTTCATATTTCAGAGACTTCGTCGTGAAGCTGATCCTGAACCTCAAAGGCCAAGACCACAAGTTCCACAACCGGTAATAACCAAAATTATATGTAACAGGAAGAATATTTAAATATGAGCTATATGTGTTACAATTAAATGATTTAATCATTTTATTTTCATATTTAAGAGAACTGTACCTTCTCGACCAAGACCTCAACAAGTACCTCCGCGTCCACCACACCCGGTAAGGATACGAAAAATTATAACTAATAAAAAAAATACTCAATTATAAGTTACATGTATTACAATAAATGGATCAATATCATCTCATTTTCATATTTCAGAGACTTCGTCGTGAAGCTGATCCTGAACCTCAAAGGCCAAGACCACAAGTTCCACAACCGGTAATAATCAAAATTATATGTAACAGGAAGAATATTTGAATATGAGCTATATGTGTTATAATTAAATGATTAATACTATTTTATTTTCATATTTAAGAGACCTTCTCGACCAAGACCCCAACAAGTACCTCCGCGTCCACCACACCCGGTAAGGATACGAAAAATTATAATTAATAAAAAAAATATTCAATTATAAGTTATATGTATTACAATAAATGGATCAATATCATCTCATTTTCATATTTCAGAGACTTCGTCGTGAAGCTGATCCTGAGCCTCAAAGACCAAGACCACAAGTTCCACTTCCGGTAATAATAACCAAAATTATATGTAACAGGAAGAATATTTAAATATGAGCTATATGTGTTACAATTAAATGATTAATATCATTTTATTTTCATATTTAAGAGACCTGTACCTTTTCGACCAAGACCCCAACAAGTACCTCCGCGTCCACCACATCCGGTAAGGATAAGAAAGATCATAATTAACAGGAAAAATATTCAAATTTTGTTAAATGTATCACAATGAATGGATCAATGTCATTTCATATTCATATTTCAGAGACTTCGTCGTGAAGCTGATCCTGAATCTCAAAAACCAAGACCCCAACAAGTTCCTCCGCGTCCGCCACATCCGGTAAGGATAACAAAAATTATAATTAATAAAAAAAATATTCAAGTATGAGTTATATGTAACACAATGAATGGATCAATATCATTTTATTTTCATATTTCAGAGACTTCGTCGTGAAGCTGTTACTGAGTCTTAAAGACCAAAAATTTAACAAGTTACTCTACGTCCTTTACACTTGGTAATAATATTATCATTAATTAGAACAATCTTTAAAAAAAATTATCACATATTCTTCTGTATAATGTTTTATTCTTCTTCATGATGATAAATAATATTATTTGTTAAATTTTATTTGATATAACGGTAGCTCAAGAACAAGTTAAAATAAGATAACAAAATCCAAATATAGAAATTTTATTATCTCGTAGATATCGAATATTGATCTGATAGGTAAATAGAAATTAATGATGCCAATTTAAATATATTCGAATAATAGTTTTATATAATATTCTTAAAAAAAAAAAAAAGAAAAGACATTATCTCGAACTCAAAAATCTAATCTCAATCTGATATAATATCTAAGTATACATACAAGTTTATATAATATATTTAATTAAAAATAAATTAAATAAATATATATATTTATGTTTACATAACATGCATGTATTGTCTATTACGTAGAAAATAATCTGTGCGTATTAGAACATTAATTAAGCAAAATTGTTAAATTGCAATAAATATAAAATACACAAATATTTTTGTTTCTTTTAATTAATTGTATTTAACAAGTATACTTATGCAGCAAAAAAAATACTTTTTATTATTTAAATTAAAATTTTTATTAATTGAATTAAATTTTTATTAAAATTTTAAATGAAAATTAAAACTTATTTGTAAATTAAAAATATTATAAAATATTTTGAAATAACAACGAAGTAAAAAAAATGAAAAAAATAAATAAAAACAATTAGTAACTTGCAAATCTAACTGCAGATAGCTTGCCCTGTTTTACCATATAAGCGATGACTAATAACTGATCATGTCTACATATGCAATGTAGATAAATATCTTTAAAACTGACTTATATAAAACTAATAAAATATATCTTTTTATTAAATAAAACAACAAACACCTTTGTTTCCGTGGTGTAGTGGTTATCACATCCGCCTAACACGCGGAAGGTCTCCGGTTCGATCCCGGGCGGAAACAATTTTTTTTATTCATTCAAATAATAAAATAAAAAAAAATAATTCAGATTTATATATTATTAAAAAATTTCAAACTTAATATTTTCATCCTCCTTTATACTCCTTTAATAAATCAAATCTTTCATTATTGTTATTGTTTATACGACTTTTCTATTCAATGTTATCGGATAAATTTGTTAAAAAAAATAAATTTTTTAAGAAAACAGAAATAAAAGTTTGAACAGTATCTTATACGAAATATATGTAAGATCTATAATTTATTTACAATATATATATACTACCTAATTAGCAATATATAATTAATTTATGTCCATACAAAATATATTGTAAAAGAATTTAATTTATATTTTACAATTTTTTCTTCTTTTTATAATATTCATTTTTATGAACAATACGTTATAATACTTATTCTAGAGAAACAACAACTGGTGCCTCATCTTCGTTATCACATTGTAAATTTGTGAAGTCCCACCTAAACTTTTTAGTTAATCGATCACGAACTCGTACTGCGTTACACTTTAAACTACCATCAATGTCAGAATTAAGCTCAATGTTTGCAAAAAGCTTACGCAAGCTTTGATAAACAAAATTGTTGCTAGTGACAATATCCCATAATATATCTTCTGGAATGTACGATAATTGAACTTCTATAACTTTCAAGAATTCCATATAAATATAGCGATGAGCTGATATTGCTGAATCTACTCCACAAATCAATGATATAAGTTTTTTCCAATTCTCAAAGGCGTCCAAATTTTGGCCAACCAAGAGACAAACAAAAGCAAGTTGTATTTCTCCAATTATTTCTATAGGTCTGTAAAAATATTTTTATATATATATATATATATATATAAAAATATATATATATATATAGTGTTACATAAATAATATTAAAATGTGATTTAAGAATTCTACAAAATAATAAAGTAGATGTTGATCATACTGTTTCAATTTATTAAGCACGATGTCCAAAACATAACTGGAATCAAGAGAATGTTTTGTGATCTCTGTCGGAGTTGCCCCATCAGGATAATGTTTCTCAGGCAATTGTGATAATCTCAGTTCTGTGCCAGGTATTGGTTTTAAATCAGGTAACAGTTGTTCTTCTTTTTCTTCAACTGTAAATCTAGTTTTGTCTGTTTTTTTTCTTTGTATAAGATCTCCTCCACGTGGTCTTAAAGCATCGCTACATGGTTCCAATTCTAAAGCCGAATGTACAAAACTAAAAAATGAAAATAATTGAAAAATACAAAAGAGAAGAGAATATACATGAACAGAATATATTATTTACCCACAAACAGGTGCACAACGTTCTATTAAAAGATAATCAATTTTATCAGTCAATTCATTCCATCCTTTCCAAATATTATAAGGATAAGGACCAAGAAATTTATCTAAATCTTTTAAGTTTTCTTTGAGACTTTGAACCAAATTTTCAGGAACAGCTACGCATCAAATCATATCAAAGAATAATTGTATTATAAAAAAAAATATATAACAAATGAATTTAACATAATAATAAAGTATCCTACGTTCTGAACTGATTTCTTCCTTTGACTGATCCCATCGTTTTACCATAAATTCAGCTTTTTCAAATACATGAAGAAAACCTATTTTAGGTGATGTTTCGCCAAATTTATTTACTGCGCTATAAAAAGATTTACAATGTACATAATAAATTTTAATATACCTATCAATCTATATCCAACATATAGATTAATGTAAACAATTAACATACATAGATAGTTAAAAATATATAAATCACCTATAATGCACATAATGAAATCCTGGAGGTATCATTTTAATACCTTTAAACTTATTTCCAACATTCCAAGACTTTAAATCTATTCCAAATTCTGTATCCACAGGTACATCAAGTACAACTAATGTAGCACCTTCGAGTAATAACCTTCGTGCAATGGTTTGATCCATTTCTATCCTACTACAGGACATATTGTTTTCTTTGAATGTTTATTACGCACTATCTTTCATGAAATTAATAGTGTATATTTACATCATTGATAAAATGATATTAGTTTTGATTTCAATTTGTTATTAACAAATAAATATTTAATTGTTAACAATTTGATATGATAAATTAAAGAATTAATATATGTACACACATAAGTAACTTGTAAGGTAAATCATAAACATATTTAACCTCAAAATTTCGATCATTTCACTGACAAGTCGTAATATAACAATTAAAAATTTGAATATAATTTTTAAAATTTTATAATCAACTGAAAACCGAAACTAAAATTAATTTTTAATTATGACTAGCAAATTAATTCTCCATTTTATTTCAAAGTTTATAAGACGCAACTACGTGTGTTACAAATGGCGCGCTAATTAAACATTTGTATTGTATCATTTTCCTTTTTTTCTGAATATCTTTTTTTTTATTTATTAATACTAAATTAAGACGACATATTAAGCGATAAAATAAAGATTTTTTTATTCAAATATCAATTTTTCGTTTTTTTCTTTATTTCTTTGAATTTTATTTTTCAGAATCATTAATAATATATTATCAAAAGAATGAATTATTATTATCATTAATAATAATAATTTATCCTTTTATTAATTGTTTATTCAAAATTACTGCAGTTAAAATCAAATTGTTAAATATCTGTAATGGCATACAAGGTAATGGGAAATCAGTAAATGGCAACCATATTCGCGATCCATCTTTTAAAATTTTTAAATGTACAGGTTGTGAAAATACTAATCCTTTGGGAATTCCAAAGCTGCCTAAAATTTTAATTCAATATCGATGTAATTAAATAGTGAGTTATAATATATCTATTATAATATTTAAATACCATCAGATGATATCCCCAAAGAAATAATTTCATCTCCAATATTTTCTGTATCGGCGTACCATAATTTTAACAGATCACAAATTGCTTTGCACATTTGCAAATTTTCAGTACGACCGACTTGATATTGAAGAATTGCCTAAATGATATGTGAAGAATAGATACCGTTTTTCACAATAAATAAAAACTATCGTAGTGAAAAAATTAATTTTATAAATCTTATATATATATATATAAATTCATACCTTACGTTCCAAATATCCTTTATAAGGATTTTTATCATGTGCTAAGTAACAAAAATATCGTAATTCTGGATATTTAAATCCCAATGGTAGAGTAGTACCTTTTTCTGCAAACATAGCTCTATTATTTGGTTTATATACTTCATATTTTTGGACCATATGACATACATCCACAAAATAATTAATTCCTATGTATTAAATAAATTATTACCAAGTTTGCATTATTTTATATACACTATTATATAAAAAATTTTTTAACCAACCCAAAAATCCCCATACAGGAGGACAACCAAAATTGTATATAGGTAAATTAAACTTTGTCAGAAAATTATAAACAATTTCTAATCCATAGTGAGAACTAACAGCTACGATATTAGTCTTTGGTAATTTAGTCACTAAAGCATGAAGCACATTTACACAGAAACAACTTGCACTCATTGAACAAAAAAGTACTTTCATTTCAGGAGATGCGTATCTGTTTATCTGCTTTGCTAATTTAGCCATACTATTATAATTATTACGTAACCAAGAAGTAGTACTTTCATTTTCTTCTCTAAAATTATCTCAACATGTACTTTAGGCTTTCTTAAAACATTAAAGAATACAAAAACATACTTTGATACAATATCTAAATTAATTAATATATCACAATCATATAATCCATCTGAAATATTTTTTATAATTCTTGCTACATATAAACCAGCTCCTATTGCCTCCATATCTTGAACAATGTGTTTAATTTTAAAATAACAACCAGGTTCGTCATATAAATTAATGATGATACCATGCGTTAACCATAATTCTTTTATTGTTATTAATTGTGGTATTAAGTCTACACATAATGCTTTGCCAGCACCTAATACTGTAATGCAACGATGTTGTATAAGTGACGTTTTCACAGATGGTAATTTCAACATTGTTTCATACATCTGTAATAACATTAAGAATTATAACAGAATTATTATAATTGAATATCATTTTTACAAGTGAGTAATCCAATTGTAATTTTTTCAGATCATCTTCTGTAATATAATCACTAATATTGTAATGTAAGTGCAAAAATTCCCAAAATTGATTAACACCTCCAATATAAGTAACATTATTTTTAGATAAACCAACTTTTTTCCATATTAATGGTGATTTTGTATGTGACCAATTCCAACGATAACAGATTTTTTCAAGCCATGACTAAAAATCAAAAAAGTTATTCTTATAAAAAATGACATTAGTAATTTAATATTATATATTAACCTTCCATTCAAGTGCACTTTTAAAAATTTTGTTATATTTAAAATTTGATAAGATCTTTGCCAAGTTTTCAGCTATATAACATATATGACAAAAATATACATCATCTGGTATTCCTGCTATTATTATAACACATTTATCAGCTGACATATTTTTTTCAATATTTATATTACATGCAGTCATATTAAATATTCCAAAATATCTTAAATATACTACATATGACTACCTTCAATTTTTTTTTTTTATATTAGCTATATTTATTAATAAAACTTCATTAAAGCTGTTCATCACCCTTCGTTTTTTCATGATTTATACCATCAAGGAAAAGAGGTCTAATTATTGACCGATTTTGATGAACAAAGTCTCATTTTAAAGACAAAGTTTAAATCTATGGTGCCTCTTTGACGAATTTTTGAAGAAGCTGCATTTTCTTTGAAAAAAATCGTGTTAAAAAATGGTATTTTTTTGAGAATAGTTCGTGCACAAATAAAATGACCAAATAGGACCAACGACGACGGCGACAATGGTTGCATATTTCAAGACTTTTCCAAAATCTTCTCTATCCAATTCCAACTAAACATTAAAGTACATACATTTTACATTACTAATCATACGTCAACGTATAAATAGATTGGATGTAATGGAATTCTAAAATAATTTTTTAAAGAAACGCACAGAAAAATTATAATTTCTTTATTATTCTTATTTATTCTTATTTATTGTTATTGATTTCCATTTATTCTTATTTATGATTATTTACGCATTTCAGATTAAATACTATATTTTCTACTCTACTATTGTTACTATTATCTATCTTTTATGCTTTAGCTATTTGTGTAATTTTAATTAGAAATAAAAAGTATAAAATTTGTAAAATGAACAAATACTTTTCAATTAAATTATTTTCAGAAAAATATAATCTGGCATATGATTTTTCTTGCTTCTGTCAGATGTACTACTAATTTCATTATATATAAAAATTTATGTCACATTAACTCGATTATTAAATATAATGACTTATTATGTCAATAAGGGATATGCCCATGGTGGAGACATTGTTACTCGCTTGCATTTGTAGTTTATATTTTGTCTATATCTAACAAGAAAGTCATACTTAATTCAGGCGAAAGATGATGAACAATCTTAAAACAAATTTATATTAAAAGAAAGACATCAATTATATCGAAGAATAATGCCAATATTTTAAAATAATACATTTATTTGACTAAAAATAGCAGTAATATACAACAATATGATACTATATCAAAGAAATATTAAGTATGTCTATAGCTTAAAGTAAAAAAAGAAATTAATATTATATTATATTATATTATATTATATTATATTATATTAAATGATCTATAATAATCTAATGTTTTAAACCAAATGAAATTTGTTATTGGTGATATGGATAGCAGATAAATCGATAAAAATGTTATTTTATCACAACTCTTTAAGATTAAATTTCTTCAGTCATTGTAATCAGAAAGTTTCATCATCAGATATTTCTGGCAAATCAGGAGATCCACACCTTTCAAATTCATAGTTAGAAAAATGCATAGATAGTTCAAGCTTTGGTATTTCATGGTAGGAAAGTTCCTCAGGTTCTATTAAAAAAAAAATATATATATATACATTTTCAAATATATAATTAAGCATTAAAATATTTTAGTTATTTTTTACCTGATCCAAATCCTTCATCCATATCGTCTCTTACATGCAACATACATTTGCTAAATTCATTTTCTAAATCAATATTATAATCATCTGTAAACACATAATTTTCAAAATGGCTCTTTTAGATCTTTGTATTCATTTGCATTAAAAATATTAAAAAAGAAATATCATACCTAATTCTAATTCTGGATCATAATACGGCGCTAAAACTTCGGGTTCTGGAAATATCCTTCTTTTCTCTTTCTCTTCTATATATGGTTCTTTGAAAATATTTTTTTCAATTATCTTCTCTTTATTAAATTCAAATGATCCTGCTTTTGAAAATTCATTGGTCACATAAAGTAATTGTTTCTATAAGAAGAAAATATAAAAAATATCTAATATTTAAATAATTACCGATATAATAGAATATTAAATATGCTTACATTGGGCAATTCATTTTTTGAAAAAAATGAATTATTGGTACCATCCTTTTTAAAAATCATTGCACTGCTAGTTGTTGGAATATTCTGATCAGACTTAGATCTTATTGATAAACCTTTTGGTTTGTAATAATCAAATGATTTAGCTATTATACCACCTGTTTGATTTATTGATCTTGTTTCTTTCAAGTGTTCTGTTGTTGACACTGTAAATCATATTACAAGATAGGTTAATTTCTATTTATCGTCACAACGAAAGAATAAAATTAGTTTAACAGCATTGAAAATAACGAAAAAGTAAAATTAATTATACTCACATCTATTTTCATTCATATTGTTAAACACATTAAAAATAGTAGACATGTTTCAAAATTATATTTGTAAAATTTTTATTTAAAATATTTTTAACGAGCCTTAAAATTTGCCGTATTTTCTTCCTTTCGTCCAAACGATTTTATGACGACTCTTTCTATAAACATTATAATGAAGTTAGCAAATAGAACGCCAGCCAATGAACGATCGCTAATGAACGTGCCAAGAACCAATCAGGAACAAGTACAGTCTAGAGAAATGGCGCTGTAATCGTTGAGACGCGCTAAAAACGAAAGACAACATAGATGTTTTTGCTACTTAAGTTTCCCTGTATAAACAGTTATGAAAGTCTGTATCATTTTTAAGAATACTTATTATTTAGAGAATGTTCTACAAAAAGAGAACTTGATATTATTAGAGGTATAAAATTTATTTATATTCTGGATTAATTTTATTATTATGATCGGAATAGAAACCAGGATACTATGAAAAACAATTTCATGCGCTTGTATTTTTTTATACTACAAATGTACTAGAGAGAAAGTGAAAGAAAAATTCTAGAATTATAAACTGTTATATATGCATTATCATAGGATTACGTAAGAATTTGTAATGAACATGTGCACACAAAAAAGAACTTTTTTATTTGATCTATATTTCTCTTTATATTGACATGTATAAAATAATGTGATCTGAAACTTCCATTTTTATAATACAATTTTAATTAGATCTTTTGATTTTTTTTATTAGGATTATCAGGTTTTTTTTTGTAGGATGAATAAGTTAATAATTTTTATAAATGTTCTCCCTCATTGATTGTTTTATTAATAAGGCTATTATCAGCCTAGATTTCTTCCCAAATGCTTCATGTATTTTGCTAATACTTGTTCCTATAAATAATCTATTATACAAGAAATATACAGAGTATAATTTTAAGAAATCCTAACTTTTATATTAAATTAATTTAATAAACGTAGATTGACACAAATGATATATAACTGTAGTTTCCTTCTTCTTGAATATAGAAAAAAGTCAACACTTTGACGAGCTATGAATATGAAGATTATAATAAGCATTAAAATGAGCACAAGATTTTAATGCACATGTTCAACACATAACGTGTAGCAATGATTCTAATTTTTTTTATATATTAACAGGAGTGCTCAACCTGATGTGTTGCAATGGTTTAAATGGTGTGACATTTCGAACTTCATTGTCTACACAATTGACATAAATATCAGCAGTTAATTCACTTAATGGAATTTCTTTATCTGCTTTTGCAATTTTTACTGCATCATCTATTTGTTTCCTTATTTCACTTTCCATCGCCTATATAAAATTAAAAAGATTAATATAACTAATATTCTTTCTGAAATAGTAGAGAAAAAAGAAATAATATATGTAACCTTAAGTTCTTCGGCAGTTGCAAGATTTGAACTCAGTAATCTCTCTTTAAAACTTGTAAGAGGATCTCTTGTTTGTCGTACTTCTTGAATTTCATCTCTAGTACGGTAACTTGTTCCCGGATCTGACATACTATGTCCACTATATCTATATGTAGCTGTTTCCATAATAATAGGTCCTTTTCCAGACGTACAATATTCTACAGCAAACCTTGTTGCTTCTCTTACAGCCAAAACATCCATACCATCGACCTATTAATAAATAATAATTAACACGAATGATAAATAAAAATTGTTAATTATTAATAGAAATATTTGAATTAATTATATGTACAATTATAATTATTAAAAAAAAAAACTTACCCAAATGCCAGGGACATAATCCCCTCTCGTATAATAATCTGTACTCGCAGAAGCACGTTCAACGCTAGTACCCATTCCATAACCATTATTTTCACAAATGAAAATACAAGGAATATCCCATAATTTTGCCATGTTATATACCTCAAATACTTGTCCTTGATTTGCTGCACCATCTCCATAAAGGGATAAACACACTCCTCCAGTGTTCAGATATTTTTGAGCAAATCCAATGCCAACTCCTAATGGTACCTAAAAATTAATTTCTTTGTTAAATGGTTACAGATATGATTTCCTGATTTATAAAGTAATAGTTGTTCAACAAACCTGAGCACCCACAATACCATTTCCTCCATAAAAATTTTTAGCATACATATGCATAGAACCACCCTTGCCTTTAGCATTACCTGATTGTCTTCCAGTAAGTTCTGTGAGAACACCTACAGGATCTATACCCATTAAATAAGTCCAACCATGTGCACGGTAAGCAGTGATTACAGCATCTTGTGGTCTGAGAGCAGCTTTCATACCAACAGCACAAGCTTCCTAAAAACATATAAACAGAAGATATAAAACTATGTTCTTGAAACGAATTAAATTAAATTTTTTTAAATACAATATTACTTACTTGACCAGAATATAAATGGCAAAAACCTCGGACAATTTTTTCTTTGTATAAATTTCCAGCTGATGTTTCTAAGCGTCGTATTGTGTGCAAATTTTTATACATTTCTAAAGCATCACTTTTAGTTACTGTTACATGATTAGATGGACCGGTATCCAATTTATGTAAGCGAAAAGGTTTTGTCTCAAAACTGGCTTCTGTTGCATAATTGTTTTTTTTATTAAAGAAGTTGATTACCTATAAATATATATGAAAAACCAAAGAAGAATTATCCTGATATCACTTAATAAAAGAAATTTTTATTCAATGTGATATAGATAAACTGTAATGATCTTTAAATCTTTATTATTTAAATGAAAATAATAAAATACCATTTTTCATACTTTTATATTAAATTAATGTAGAAGAAATGAATTGTAGAAATTATAATTGTAATTTAATTATTCAAATTACTTTACATTTTTATAAAAGATAAAAAGTCAGCATATTTAGAAAACTCACATATGGATATAACAATGCTGAATTAATTCAACAAAATATATGTGTGTGTATGTGTGTGTGTGTACATGTGTGTGTGTGTATACATATAATAAAGTGCAAGTAAAAACAATTGAACAAAAACAGCATTGTACTTAACACGTACCTCATTCCAATTTCCAAACTGACATAGTGTCCGAGATTTAAAAAGAATAGGGAAGTGTATTTTAAGTGAAAATTTCGTAAAGAAACTAATAGGCTTTATAATTAAGGGGGATTATGGAACTCGTTGAAAATTAAAAAAGTAAAGATCGCTTATTATATATTCATATTGTACTCACGTTTCTTCGAGATATCTGCGTACTAGCAGTTCTGAGACAATTTGGTATCATTTTTATCAAATAATTTTACAATGGCGAAGGGAAAAAATTACAATAAAAAAAGGAAAATCGTATTTTCTTTAGATACAATATGTAAAATGACGTCAAAAGATGAGAAGCAGCACTTGGCACACTGAATAATTTCGGGGAATGTCGAAACGTAGGTTGTATAAAGGACAGGTTGGACTATATGATCCCCACTACACGATTTTAACTTATGGCGATTATTACGTGATAGCCACGTGACATTGACACTTTGATGATTGAATAAAAAGCTATGTTAGATAATTATACAATTGTATAATATAATATATATATATATATATGATATAAAATAATACCTATTAGAAGCTATAATTTTCATATATTTTTTTTATAATTATATTTGTAAAATTTTTTTTTTTAATTCAAAAGGACAAAAACTTTGTTATTAATATGCTTCTTATATATCTAATTTTCTCTTTAAATAATTGCATGTTATCACAAAATATCTAAATATCTTATTTTTATATTAAATATTAATTGTTATTTATATTAATGTCTTCAAGTAAACAAATTTTTATATTTTGTATTTCCCGCGCGAATTTTCTCAATTTGCGATTTTTTTGAATCAGCCTTACAACTGTTAAGAACTATATCTATAGAACAGAGAGAGAGAGAGAGAGAGAGAGAGAGAGAGAGAGAGAGAGAGAGAGAGAGAGAGAGAGAGAGAGAGAGAGAGAGAGAGAGAGAGAGAAAATATCTTAATTTTAATCTTATTAGATAACATTATTTGATATTCGCATCGTCTTATGAACGATAGAATATATATAGTTCTCTGATAAGAAAATAACAAAGTATTACGATTTGAAGCATATTTAAAAAATTTTTTTATTTGTTATTTTTTATATGCATTCAAAATTTAGATTTGAATTTTCCCGCACTTTCTTATTCATATATAAAATACTTCCTGTTAACTTTTAAATTATCACGAACTTTCTCACGTATGTCATAAATATATAGATTTTTCTTAAAAAATTTTTAATCATTATTCTGTTATTATTATTTGATATATATGTTCACGTATATACATACATATACACATTCATTTACGCTACACATATAATATACAAAAACGTAATATGCTACTTACATAAAAATAAAAAATAAAAGAGAACACAAAGAAATAAAATTAAATAGCATCTTGTACAACACTTGCATTAATGATACATGGCGATGTAAAACGTACATAACGAATAGTATTTTTAATGTTAATATAAGTAGATGATATTGTAATTCCTATACCAATAATTACAATGAAATAACCAAACCAATTCATTGTCTTTTTAAGATCGCAAATTACTCGAGATTTAAACGGTGATTGTGCTAAATGGACTCGTCTTCGACGATTTTTCAAAGATGGTTGACTAGCGTCGATAAGAATGGCCTCTTCTTGACGATTTCTTCTTATTAATGAAAATTCATTCAAAGTTACAAGATTAGAATAATTTTCTTCATCATCGATCTCATCGTCCTCCAATCGTTCATCAATATCATTTTCCATATCGTAATAATAAACATACGAATATTTATATGGTATGGATTTAGCAACATCCAAAAAACCATCATAAACGGATCTCGAATGTATTCTTGGATCCAAATTAACATCGCTCATACTTAATCGTCTTTCAGATGTCGAATAAATTTCCGGTGTTGAAACATTATTCGCTCTATTTTTCAAAGCTACCGCTCTGGCATACATCAATGGCGGAAGTACGAAAACCAATGGTCCCGTTAATGATCCACCAATCAGAGCCATTACTATATCGAAGCGCGGAACTGATTCTCCTACGGCAACTCCGAAAAAAACAACTGCCGATCTTAAGGCACAACGTTTCCATCCGAATGCTGTAAAAAAAGAAAGAAAAGAAAAATAAATAAATAAATAAATAAAACACAAAAAAAACTGTACATATAATATATCATTGTAAGTATATTTTAAAAATTTAATGCGTCTAATTTTAATTTAAAGTAAATTATCAAAGTTATAAATGTTATCTATAATAATTGTTATCTCGAATAATAATTTTTCTTTTCTTTTAATTTCTTTTCAAAATTCTTTTATATTTAAGATTACACCTCTTACTTACATCTCTCTATTTGAAATTTATCCTCAAGATGTTGAAAAAGTGCCGAATGTCCTAATGCACTGGATAAACATAATTGAAGAGCAGCTAATAAAATAGCACCATTTATTGCAAATCCTTTTGGTACATTTTGAAGAATATTTGCTGTTACATTCCCTTCATATTTCCACATGGCCAAACCCGTTGTTACTCCAAAAAGTAATATACTGACTACAATTATAATTGATTAATGTAATTTTTCATAGAGAAACAATTAAGGTTTGAAGATTAATATAATAAATTTTCAATAATATAAGTTTTTTAATTTAAAAATTTAATTTCATTGGGAATAAGATATTTACCAAAAAAGGAGAATATAATAGCTTTATTAATATCTCGAGGATTGTGCATGTCAACTTGAATGGTCATCAGTGTTGGATGTACGTCAAACAGAAAGGCCAACATACCGTAACTGAAGTTAATTAATTAATTACTATATATATAATTATCATGCTGATTGATGGTTATACAAAATCAAATCAAAGAATTCAATTGAAATTAAACGTAAAAAACAATTAAAGTATACGAACAATTATAATAATTTATAATTGGATTTCGTATTTATAATTAAATCAAATTGCAATCGATATTCTAAATTATAAACAATGTAATTACACACACACACACACACACATATATATATACACATATACATACCCAGATATAAATTTATCCCAAGTCGGTGAAGTTGGTATCGGCAAATGATCGATCGTTCGATCATCGTTGATGATGCACCACCAAATCAGTGTTGCGGTAAAAATGATCATACCACACGAAAACATTGTCAACCATCTATAATATTTACAAAAGAAAAAAACAAAAAATATATATATAATAAAAAAGAAAAAAAAATTACAAGCTTAAATTATCAAATTTATATTACAAATATAAAATGAAAATTGTTCCGAAGAAATTTCTATTTTTCTTCAGCGTGTAAAAAAAATATAGTTAGTATATTATAATAGAATGTAAAAGAAATTGAGAAGATCAATGATCATGAATATCTTATTACTTCATATCTCGTGGACTTCCTAACCACATGAAAGGACAGAGCAGCATACCGACCAGAAGTAACCAGTAACAAAAAGAAAGATCAAATCGTTCATCCGATATTCTAACTCCAAATATTTGTAGATTCTGCGACGCTAAAATAGAATAAGACGATTTTACAAACTTGTTATATTCGATATTACATTTTTTTTTTATATTCGTACAATTTAAAGAAGATACCCAAATTTTTGTTTACTTATACATATATATATATATATATATATATATATGTATGTATAAGTAAACAAATATATATATATATATATATATATTAAATTCTTTATTTTATTTTATTAACATGCGTATTATAAATCACAATATAATATTGTACAATATATTTCTTAAATTATAATAAACGTAAGAAAAGTATAATGTATAAATTTAATATATTCTATTAATTTACGCAATTTTTTATACCTGTATGCGTTTTTATTTTTTTTTATTTTTTGATTTTTTCGTATTTATCTATATAGCTATATTTATATAGATTTTATATAGTTTCTTTTTTTTTCATGTAATTGACCTACCGACCAATAAATTGGGTATTCCACAACCAAAAATTGTAAGATCCAAAATAAAAGTTACAATAGTTCGTGCTCGTGGACCCAGTGTTAATTCGGTTACTGCTGCTAATGGATACCTAAGAGTAAGTCAAATATTGAATTTGGAGAACCAATTTTTCTGACAATTAAATACATATATTTGAGAATAAAAAAATGTTTATGTTAATTAATTTTGTATAAAAATTTTTTGCATCAGAATCCTACCGATTTTTTCGAGAGATCAACGGATCCAAATTCGTAGCTATGATCCATGATTTTCCAAGAAGTGCAGCTGTGTATATTTGTAATCCAAAAACAATGAGTACCAAAGGAATTCCAAATAATCCTAAAATCATTTCATGCTTTGCTTTTTATATGTATTAATTAACCCATCGAGATCATTAAAATACACGATCGAGTGAAATCACTTGCTTAAAAAGTATTATCTATGTATATATCTCTGCATATGAGAGCAATTTACAAAATTTGCAGCTTTTCTGTTCTTTTTTATATTTTTTTTTCTTTGTTTTTATTTTTTTTTATTTTTTTTATTTATTTATTTATTTATTTTTTTAATATATAAATTTCATTCTTAAAGTGAAAAATAGCCACGAATTTTTCAAACTATTCTAGTGTAAATATATATGTACTTAAAAAACAACCGAGTATATCCGCATAATCGCATCAATTGGTTTATTTTTTCAGGTCGCATTTATAAACGCATAAAACGTAAATTTATACATAACTTTCGTTAAATGTCTAACAAGATTATTATTATTATTATTATTATTATTGTTGTTGTTGTTATTACTATTTTGTTTTTTTTTATTTTTTTTTTATTTTTTGTCAAAATATCTTTCTCTGTTATACCGCGTATATAATACATTTATATTAAATTCTTATTTTAATTTAAAAAGAAAAAAAACAAAAACAAAAAAAAAATATTCAGTTAAACACACGCGATTTAGCGAATGTATCTGTTTTTTAAATAGTTTCAAATCACTTCGCTCAACCGCAATCACAAAATTTTAATTTTTCATTTGTCAACTACCAGAAGATATCGTGCAAGAGGAAATGGGTTTTTTTTAAAAGAAAATTAATAACTCACCGCACTGAATGATAGCACTTGGCAAAGCGATTATTGGAAAAACACCAAATATATCAATAATACATAAAGTAGTGAAAAATAAAGAAAGATCTGAATTAACATCCTTAAAAATAAGAGGTACACTTTCGTGAATCATGATGAGAAAGCATTTGCACTGGCTTCGACATCACTATGAGAGAGAATACGAACCAGTTTCCTTCATGCACGTTAACAACAAGTAACTTGATACATCCTCCTATCGAACGCAAGTCGTGGTCACAGCGACTGTGGGAACGTTGCAAGAAGACCTACAACTTTCTCTCTATTCTCGGTCATATATGCGTGCTTTCTATGTGACATAAGCCCTTTGAATAATCCAAAGTCGATGTATTACTTAAATATGTTAATATTCATGTCAAATACAAAAGGCTTTTCGATAGATAGAATTCAATATCTTTGAATGGATAATAACCACATACATTCCTTATTACATATGAAATAAAATAAAATAAAATATATGAATAAAATAAAAAAAAAAAAAAAAAGAAAAGAAAGAAAAAAAAAAGAAAAGAAAAGAAAATATTTTAAGGGCAACAATATGAACGTTATAATTACAAGTTCTCGTACACATTCTTATCTTACAATGAATATTTAAAGCTAACAAATTAAAGATAGGATGCGCTTTAATCGTCCGTTTCGTAAGCAGGCGATGCCGGTGAATAAGTTGGACTCGTAGGAGAGTAACCAGGTACCGGAGGCGAGTAGGTTGGACTTGTTGGCGAATAACTAGGACTCGTTGGAGTATAAGTAGGACTTGTAGGGGAATATTTCGTACTCGAAGGTGAATATTGAGGACTCGTTGGCGAATACGTAGGACTCGTCGGCGAGTAATTCGGACTGCTAGGTGAATATCTTGTACTACCAGTAGCCGTGTGCTGTGGTGAACTTGGAGAATACGATGGACTTGTCGGCGAATAAGTTGGACTTGTAGGAGAATATGTTGGACTCGCTGGAGTATATTGTGGCGACGTTCCAGCAAAGGAAGGTGAAGTAGGCGAATAACTCGGACTTGTTGGTGAATATTTTGGACTACTTGGAGAATAACTTGGACTAGCCGGTGAATATTGAGGTGAACTAGGTGAATAACTTGGACTGGTAGGCGAGTAAGACGGTGAGGCTGGTGTGTAATTAGGTGAACTAGGTGAATAGCTTGGACTGGTTGGCGAATAACTCGGACTTGTCGGCGAGTAACTTGGACTTGTCGGCGAGTAACTTGGACTTGTTGGAGAATAACTTGGACTTGTTGGGGAGTAACTTGGGCTTGTTGGCGAATAACTCGGCGAAGTCGGTGAATAACTTGGACTGGTAGGTGAATAACTTGGTGACGTTGGTGAATAGCTCGGTGAAGTTGGTGAATAACTTGGACTTGTTGGTGAATAACTTGGTGACGTTGGTGAATAGCTCGGTGAAGTTGGTGAATAACTTGGACTTGTTGGTGAATAACTTGGGCTGGTAGGTGAATAACTTGGTGACGTTGGTGAATAGTTCGGACTAGTTGGTGAATATGTTGGACTGGTGGGCGAATAATTCGGACTCGACGGTGTCATACTGGGTGATGTTGGTAAATAAGCTGGTGACGTAGGCGAGTAACTTGGCGAAGCACCGCCGGCTGGTGACATTGGATAAGGACTCATACTTGGTCCTGGACTTCCAGGACTTCCTGGTTGTGGAGAATAGGCGGAATATGCTGGAGACAATCCCGAAGCATCGGATGCTCCCGATGGTGAGAAACAAGCACCTCCTGGTGTCATCCCGCTTCCCAAAGCTATACATAAATTATTTCATATAAAATCTGTGCTTAATTAACAATTGTTATATATTTCATTAAATACGAATATGAAAACGTACCAGGCGACATACTCGATGCACCATAACCAGGAGTAGCTCCCATCCACGGTGTCATCTGAGGACTCATACTCGGAGTCGCAACACTACCAAAGAACATACCGGCAGTTCCCATTACACCAGCACCTACCGCCATTGGTATTTCAATTCCAGCTTTACATTTCTCTGCATCGAGTAGTAAATCGAAGCAACCTATGGGACACGAACAAATTAAAAATATATCTTTCCTATTTTTGAAAATACATCTTGAGATTTAATTTGATCAATATTATTATAGTATTCAATTGTCAATTATTGTATCCATTAAATTATTTCTTACCAGTTCCTATACGTGGTAGTTGACCCATAATAATATTTTCTGATACTCCTCTCATAGGATCAACTTCAGCATGCGAAGCAGCGTCCAATAGAACGTCGACCGTTTCTTCGAAGGAACATCTATAATAATGGAATAATAAATTTTTTATTTTCTTCTTTTATCTTAAATAAGATAACATATGGATTACAAACCTCATTAATGCTCCGGTGTCCTGTCTGTTGATTCCATGACGAGTTATAGCCATTAAATGACCTTTAGCAGTCATAACG